TACTCAGAGCTGCATTTTTCCCTGCACTGCCAGAGGAACTGGGTGGGGACCCATTTAAAAGGACACCATTGCGCAGCACAGGAAACGTTAAGCTAATGGGAATCCAGCTGGAAGTGCTTACCAGTACCAGAGGTCCAGCCCCCTCCTCCTCAGAGCCAGAGCAGGGAGCTTGTGCATGCACAGTGCAACCAGGATGTGACCCAGAGCAGGGACAGTGGTGAAGAAGGAGTGGCACACTGGGACTCAGCCACGGCCTGCTCTTGTGCTGCTTGATGTGTGCTTTGATGAGTAACCACTAATGCTGAACTCTGGGACACAAGTCTTGCTTTTAGAAGGGGCAGCAGTGAGAAGTGGTACTGCTCTGCATGCCTGCCTTGTCCTTTCTGTCAGTCTCATCCTGTAAGCAGTAAACGTGTTCCCTGTTCTGAGCCTCCCTCTCCTTCTCTCTTCTGCAGTCCAGCTGTGCTCTGCAGTTCTGCATGCATGGATGGCACCATCCAGTCAAACACAAACACATCTCCCTCCCAGCCTTCGTCAGGGATGCCTTTTTCATACAGGTTCTCCTGGGACAGCAGTCTCAGAGCCCTTGGGGCTGGTAGGGCTGTATCCATGGTAAATACAATCTGGCCATGAACTGCTTGGTGTCTTGGCATTGCTGCATCCTCCCATTCCTCTCTGCTCCCATATCCTTGGGGTTCAGAGCTTCAGGAGAGATGGGATGTGGAAATCGGGAGATGGGGAGATGGTGTGGGGCAGCTGTCACCTTTCTGAACCAGCCTTCAGGAGAGTGCTTCAGCTCCACTGGGATAGTTAGACTCCAGTTATGCAGCAGAGTGCTGGAGTCTTTCCAGAGACACAGTGTGCTCTAAGTAAACTGAATGCATTCTGCACTTAGAATCATTAAGTTGAAAAAGACCCCAAAGATCATCAAGACCAGTTGTTAACCTGGCACTGCCAAGTCCCAGACTAAACCGTGTCCCAAAGTGCCACAACTACATGTATTTTTAAATACCTCTGGGGATGGGGACTCGGCCTCTTTCCTGGGCAACTTAACCACTTTTCTGCTGAGCTTTTTTTCCTCTCCCTTAAAATATGGATGGTAGTCTCTGGTTTGCTATGAGTAATATCAGACATGGCAGTTTTTGAGTGGTCAGGTGCTGTATTTTCTCCTCTGTTTTTTGTGGTAGCTATGGTACCTTCTCCTGGTCATCCTTGTGCTCAAGTGGTCAACTTTAGAGATGGGAGGAGACAGGCATCAGCTCCTGGGTTATCTTGTTCTGCTTTTCTTGGGCAGAGATGCCAAGGAAGGAAATCTGGATTGGGGGACACTGGAATGTGTTTTTTATTTTTAAAACAAACCTGCATCTCTAGTGTGACTCTAGCGTTCGCTGAGCCGTGATTTCTCATGTAACCTAAACAAGAGTGGGTCACTGTCCCTTCTCCCTGCCTCTGCAATGACAGCTGAGCTGCTCAGTGGGGCTTCAGAGGTTTGGGCTGGGGCCAAGATGGGGAGAGGGTGAGGTGAGGTGAGGGAGGCCCACGGTCATGGGGGTTGCATCAAGTGTCTCTTTGTTTTCCCTGATATGATAACCTGGTCTGTGGTGTTGCAGTACTTTGTCACCAGACTTGTTTTAGTGTGTATATATGTGACCCTTGCCATGAAGCATATATACACAGGTATTAAATATATTGCTCTATATAATATTATATGTGTGTGGTATCGAAGGAATCTTTTAAATGAGGGTAAAGGAAAAGGACTCAGGCCAGGAAACGCAGCATCTCCAGTTTAATTATGAAGCCTTGTATTTGGGATAGGGAAAGAGAAATAAGAAAAGAGGGGATGGTTTTATATAGATAGGTATAAACTTTGAGATGGGACAGGTTTCCCTGTTCACATTTTTGAAACCCTTTAGGATGTCCTTGCAGTCCCATCTCAGTGAGAGAGTATTATACTGCTAACTAGTGAGTAAAGTTTTAATATAAGGCTTTGCTTATATTATTTAAAGGGACATTGTGATAGGCAGAAGTTTCACACTTGACTTCCCAGGCTTGCTTTGTCAGGCCAAGAGGGTTTTCTTCAGCACATTATGTGCTCTCAGCAGAAATGCTCAGTGCTCACAGCTCTACAGCAGATAAACCACAAGTTGTAGAGGCTGCTTTAGTGGTGTGTTCACAAGACCCTGTGATAACTCTCTCTTCTTTATTTGTGTGAGAGAAGAAGAAGAAAATTCTGCAGCACAGAACCAAATTTGAGGGTTTTTCACAAAGAAAGTGATGTTTTAATTTTATAACATTAGAAGAAAATCTCATATCCTGTAAAATAACCACAGACATTCACACAGAGCAGAAACTTACTAAATGCTGAAGGACTTAGTGAAAATCTTTTCCCAAATTCTTTGGTAAGGGCAGAGATTAAGGTGACACTGGCATTGGAGTTAACCAGGCCTTTACAGGGAGAAGTAGAAAAAAAAACCCAACAAAGCAACAACCAACAAAAAATACCCTACTTAGCTTGTATGAAACTGTATGTCAAAAATTAATGGGTTTTAGCAAGTGAAAGGAAAAGATAGCAAGGGGATGCTGCAGTTCTGAGCTTGGTAGTAATGATATTGAGTCCTTTAATATGTCTTCATATTAATATAATTTAAGAATACCACGCTTTACTATTAAAAAGAACTTAGTATCTTTCATAAGGTCTAGTATCAGGATAAATATGTAGATGTTTTAACAACATTTTTGTTTTTGTTCTTAAATAAAGAAAGAAAAAACCAAACTTGCTTCTTTTAGCCTTTGTAATAGAAAATAAAAGTGTGCACTTTAAACCCTCTCCTGATCCAGAGCGTGTTTGTGTTTTTCAAACAGCCTGCAAAGGATTTTATCTTGCTTTTGGGTTTCCCTGCTGTGAGGAGGGAAGAGGGGAGCACATCAAGCCTTGGACCACTGGGGCTTTCTCCCATCTTTAAGTATAATCTGCTACTCTTCTTGCTGAGTGGAAAATGGCCTATGTGCATATTAACAGTGGATGCAGTTCTTCATCAGACACACAGTTCTAGTGAACTTTAGGTGTGTTTAAGAAGTTTTTCTTTCCCCCTAGTGCCAAGAATCCATGTGCTCTGCATTAACACATAGTTTCAGGTGTTTGGGTAACCTGTGTTTCAACACCTCCAGTAATCGGGTAAACACATTCATCTAGAGATCCTTCTGTGTAGGCTGCTCTGTCCAACTGGGCTGGCCAGTTCTTTTGCCTGGCACTGTGCACCCTGCTAGGGAACACGTGAACATGTCCTTAGCCTTACTCAGTCGCACACTGCTTGGGCCATGGGAAGTGTCTGTGCACTTACTTTCCTCCTAGAGAGGATGCTGTGTGAGGAAACTGCACTGGGGAAGGGGTCAGTGTGAAAACATTCATTAATAAACCCAGCTTTTTAAATTTTTGAATCCATCATGATGACTTACTTTCCTCCTAGAGAGGATGCTGTGTGAGGAAACTGCACTGGGGGAAGGGGTCAGTGTGAAAACATTGATTAATAAACCCAGCTTTTTTAATTTTTGAATCCATCATGATGCAGATTAATTTAGAATTCTTGATTAAATCAAAACTGGATATGAAGACATGGGGGTCCCATGGATATGCCCTGTTACTGCTGTATAAACTGGTAGTGACCAGAAGGTCATATCCAGTGAGGCCTGAAGAGACAAGATTTGTCACACGTTTCCTTGATATGCCCTCTTACAGACATAAGAACTCATGTCCTTCTGGTCAAAGAAGAGGCCTGAACACATTCTTGTAGTGCAGGGGGAATGCGGAGCCGTGTGCACTTCCAAGGTGCATACAATGTGAGAGACATTAATGAGAGACATTAATTTACATTCCAAAGGTTGTTGAGGCCATGATGGCAAGAGTCAAGGGTAGCTTTTCCAGTACAATTGAAACCAAAATTGTCAAATTGTGAGACAGACAAAGCACCAGGAGAAGAACACCTGTTCTTGTGGGTTTGAGCCTCAGCTGTAAACTGGTGTTTCTTCACTGAAATAAACTTGTATTTTGGAGAGGAAGAAAAGGAGTGGTGATTTCAGTTATCAGATCTTCCTAGGAACTTCAGCAGATACAAAGACAAGGCAGAGAGACCCAGGTCAGCCAGGAAAAATCCAGGTACTGTGGAACATTGAGACGAGCAGGGTAGAAACCCCTGAGAGGTGGGAGGAAGGCTTCATACTGAACATGGTTAATGCCGTCACACAGCAGCCTGTCAGAGGGAGTTTGCTGCAGATGAGAATCCTAAGCAACCCTGTAATGGAGTCTGCCTACCACACTATAGAGAAACATTTCTGGGCAGTGACAGCAGATGATGCAAATGCTGTCATCCTCTTCATTGTGTTTGCTGCTGCCATTGCAACCAGGAACAGGGTCATGTTGTGTAGTGTCCTGTGCACAGTGAGCAGCAGAGAGTTCCTGACATGCATGAGCTGGGGAGGTGTGTTGGTCACTGCCTGGGCACAGAGGATGTAACTACGTAGGGCAGCTGGGGGGAAAACATGGGCCAGAAGCAACAAGCAACAAGCTAAATAGTGAAAGAGCCCCTAGTTGGAGGGAAGTGGAGGAGGAAGGGCTGTGGGCACACCTGCTGAAGCACACAGCTGTTTGATATGTGGTGGAGGAAGGCACTGAACAGACCTGGTTGGATGCTGTGGGATGGCTCTGGGCAGAGGTCCTGTGGACACACAGCTATTGGGGCTTCCTGGAAAGCTCCAGGCTCTGGTCAGGAGCTGTTCAGCCTCACCCTTTTCTCTCCAGGATGGGAGTGGACAGGACAGGACCTGTCCATTCCACATAACTTCTCTCCCTTCCCAGATTGATTATCACCTTTTGTTTCGGTGTTTGGTTCCTCCTCCAGGCAAGAGCAGTGTGTCCTGGTGCCACTGGGACAGGAGTGGTGTTTCCTGAAAAGAGCTCCAGGTGCAGCAAAGACAAGAGCAGGGACCAGACCAGATGACAGCTCCAGCTGACTCATTTCTCACCACAGCAGTCCTGTCCCTGGCAGCTCCCAAGACTGCCCCTTTCAGGAGTGCTCGTATCTGCAGTTTATCTTGCGGATGGCAGTGCCCCAGAAAACTACTACTTGTTCCAGAGAGCCTTAGGAGGCACAAACATAGCAGAGACCCCATAAATAGGGTCATTCATAACCATCTGAATTAATCCTCCAAAAAATTACATTTACCTAGGGGTGGGATAAAAGTCTCTAAAGCTAGATGCCGGAGTAGATTTGGCTGCTTTGAATTGGAAAAACACTCAGCTCTGGAGGTGCTCTTTGGCATATTTCCTTTGTTCTCAGTGGATTTCCTATGTCTGCCTTAGCTGTGGGCTTCCAATAGCACTGCAGCCCTCCAGGCAGATGGTTGGGAAGGATGAAGAGCTGCATACTTTTGCTAATTGAATCCCAAGGCACATGACCCTGTCTGTACCCCAGCAAAGCTCTGAGACAGAGAGGGAAAGTCCTGCTTTCATGGGAGTGAGATGGCCTCAGTTTTCCTCAGCAAAATTGCTTGAGAGTAACTGCAACACAGCTGGGCATTGCCCCTGGGAGCTGTGGTGGGGATTCAATATAGCAGCATTCCAAAAGAAGCTCTAGGCAGCCTGGATATTCTCCTGTTTGAGACCATTCATGTCTTGGTTTTGGGGTATCAGTGGCAGCCAAACTGTCAAAGCCTTTTTAAGGGTCATTTGTTTTCTTCCAGCCCACATGCCTTCCCCAGGCTCAGCTGACTCCTGTATCTTTCTGTCAAGCTCAGACCTCTTGTGCTACAATGCTGCAGGATCCCTGCTCTTGCTGGGACCATGTTGTCCTTAGCAGATGTGAGTAGGAAGAGATGGCTGACAGACAGCCTGGGTCCTTACAGACAGCCTGGGTTTTGAGAGAGAAGCAGCCACAGGAATGTGTCTCTTGCTGTCCCACCCAATGATCTCCCATGGCCCAACACCACAGGCCTTGGATTTCCCCATCCTGATTTCAGCCCCTTGGTTTATTGCTGCTCTTGGCACCTCCTGGACTCTGCCTCCTGCCAAGGCTTGTTCCAAGAGCTCCCAAAGCTGTCTCTGTCCAGGCTGCCAGAGTGTTTTCAGAGCAGGGAAATGCAAAAAGGCAGCTCTAGGTGTCCTTCCTGCCCAGGACAGTACAACTTCTGGTGATCCCAAGGCCCTTTGTCACGTTTTCTCCCTGCCTAATACCTAGTTCTCTGGCAAATGGCACCTCACAAGGAAAGCCACGTGCAGAGAAGCAGAGCCGTGGTGAGCCCAGCTGCCATGTAAGCACCTCAAGAAGGGGGAGATGTCTTGGCAGGGGTGGTGGGGAAGCAGAGCTCATTAACTTTTGGCACTCATTTTGGGGAATTAGTTTTTAGAAATTCTTTTGCCTCGGGCAGGAGGTGCAGGCACTTCCTTCCACTGAAGTTCACTGCTTGGCTGGGAGATCTCAGCACTGCTCTAACACACAGGGAGACAGGCAGGCACATTTGTACACATATATAGGAACATGTATGCATGCCATACCCTGCTGGGGAAGGAAGCCCTTTCAGAGGTAGGAAGGGAGCTCTGAGGGGTGAGGTGTCTGTGTCACATGCTGCTACCATCAAAAGTACACAAATGGTTGCATGCTCATGTTGCAGGCACCAGGCAGGGTGTTTAGCCAATACAAGAACCCTAGTCCCACTTTTCCCACACCCTCCCATGCTGGCTTCATTACTCCTTCTCTCACCTCCTTTTCTTCAAAGTAATCTGCTGTGGATGCTGACACCCCTGTGGTCTGGCCACAGCCTTCCCTGCTGCTGCTGTTCTGGGTATTCCTGCAGCTCCATGGATGTTTGTTGGCACTAGCAGCATCTGAACCCAGAAGAAGACAAGTTTCTGGGATGTGGTGCAAGTGTCCTTTCAGAATGGCCACGGTGAAACTCAGCCTGCAGGCCTCTGCCAAGGCGAGAAAAATTCCTTACCAAGCCAAATGTACCACAAAAATAAATAGTTAAGTCTGGAAGCTGTAAGGGGAATGTACAATTGTCCTAGGAACTAGTACAAGAACAAAAAATTGTAAAGATGTCTGTAGAGAAACAGTGGTTGACCTCTGGCAAAGGGTTTGCTTGGATAAGAGAAAGAGGAAACCACTTACCAAGCTGGGTTTGGTGCAAGAAGCAATCCCTGTGGGTGGGCCTGGAGCCTCCACTTTGAGGAGTAGGCTTGATTTGTGGGATGTGCAGCAGAAGATGTCTCATGTGAGGTACAGAAATTTCCAAGTAATGGCTGTACTGCCAATGTGAATGGTCTTGGGTGACTGAAAGAAATGGAGAAAAAAAGGGAAAATAGTCTTGCTTCAAGAACAGCAGAATTTGAAAATCTTCTAGAGGTTTCTAAATGTTTTTATCCTTTTTTCCAGATTCACTTCAGGGGAATGCCATCTTGTATGCCACCACAAAGTCACTTCAGTACTGCTGGCTTCTGCCTGTCCCTTGTCACTGCCCATGATCATACAGAACACATTACACCAGGCCCCAGATCATACAGAACACATAACAGCAGGTTTTATCTCTGGGGTGGCATTAATTTGACTCTCCTCTTCCTAGCTTGCTTATCTTTCAAACAGAGTAAGATATTTAAATGTATTTATCCCTTTGCCAAGGTGGGTAGCATGCCCTGGGGGTGGATGGATGGATGGATGGATGGATGGATGGATGGATGGATGGATGGATGGATGGATAATATTGTTGCATAAGATTTGTGTCCTCAGAAAATAAGACAAAAAGTTTTTGTTTTCTAAGGGGACACATTCCAAACCAAACTTTCACCTTATTGGAGGAAGCTGAGATAAAAGCAATTAGTAATAATAACCACTAATGCCTTTCTTTGGTCAAATGTCATTGCTGCTGCTGGGTTACCCATCAGCTGTGCTTTCAGACACACCTGAGGAACAATTAAATTCCCTTTTATGGTGGTGGCCTCATAAATCGATGAGCAGCCAGGTGCCCCACCAAGGACAAGACCCACAGCAATAATCTGCAGGAGTTTCTGACTGAGGAGGCACGCAGATGGGGCACTGGCTCTTGTTTTGGGTCTGAGGGAGGCTGTGAGACACTGGCAGGAGTGGAAACAGGGGAAGGGCTGCTCCAGAAGTGCTGTGAAAGTGGCCCTGTGGAGAAGTTGAGGGAACACTCCTGGGGGTGAAGGAAAGATGGCAACTTGGACCCATGCACAGAGAGCCCCCTTAGCCAGCTCCTTAATGAGCAGGGCTGTATCAGAGGTCTGAATGTCTGAAAAGACTCTTCAGGGTCTCAAACTGCCAGCAAGGCTGTACCTGTGAATAACACCTCAGCAGTGTTGCTCTACAGTTCACTTTGACCCAATGGCACACCTCTCTAGAGAGATCCCGTTAGAGACAGGAATAGAATCAGAGGTTTTAGAAGAGACATTTACATGCTTTGGTGCCAGCAGAAGCACCTGAACACTGCAGGAAGGCAAAGAGGTCAGGGGAAGGAAGGAACAAGAATTGGTTACTTAAAACAAAGAACAATTCTTTCAAATAAAAATGTAAAAGGAGAGAGAGTATGGACCAAGGCAAATGTTGAAGAACCCACTATCCTCCCCTCAGGACTGCTGAACACACTCCTTGGGCAAATGTGCCAAGAGGTTCAGCCAGCACAGCTGGGTGGTGTGGGTAACTGCCCAAGAGACTTGCAGAAAATACAGTGAAGTTAGCCCTGGTCTCAGCCAGTTAAATTGGTGTTCCTGGAGTTTGGCCTTCGCCATCACTTTAGGTGCCTCCTTTTGTGTGCCATCCACTTAGGGCCAGTATAAGTTGACCATGGCTGGTTGAGTCTGTGAGAAAATGTGCTGTAAAGGGCTGACTGGGCATCTGAGTGGTGGCTGGAGCAGAGCTGCCAGCACCTCCCCTAAAATGGGATCACAAAACCAATAAAAACATACCTGATCTGACAACTGTGCAGCCAGCACAAGTGATGAAATGTGTGGCCATGCCTGCATCTTTCCAGAGACAACATTTCAACTTCATTCACTAAAGCAGCTCAAATGCTCTGCTCTCCATGGCAGGACATGGGGGCAGACAGACATTCCCCACTGCTATGACTCTAATCCATAGTATATTTTCTGACTCCCTGGGGCTTGAAGACAGGGTGGTGTTGATGCTTCCACTAGTGATGTTACCCAAGCTCTTCTGGTGGGCAGGAGCTCATTGTTCTGGGATTCTGAATCAAGAGGGACATACAGTCGTGGTAGGAGACTTTGTGGGCATGGCAAACACCAGATGAGATGTACATCTCATCGCTCTCAGACCTCTAGATAAAAAATTAGATATGTCCATTGCAGGCTAATAATTCAAACTGCTAAGAGACAATTTAGATTATCTTTAAGGTACTTTCCAACCCAAACCACTTCATGATTCTATGAATTTTCTCTGAATTAATGTCTTCATTTTCTGAAGCCATAAATGTCAGTCAGTTGCTGCAGCAGTGGCTGTGAAGTTCTTGGGTCACTCCAGACATGGGGTCAGATGTTTGTTCAGCTTTCATAACAAGTTTGAGCCTGGGACAAAATCAGGGGGTCCAAGTGCAGCTGGCACTGGACAGCCACCATGTTCCCAGTGACTTTCCCATGCCAGCCTGTGATAAGAAGCAAAACTAGGCATATATGACAGTAGCTATCCCAAACATCAATGATGCCTGGCATGACTGGATGGTCTGGAAGATATCAGGTGAGGACATGGATCTCCTGGCTGGCAGGCTGTGCCCCAGGAAGGAAAGATGTGATCGTGTGTCTTGCTTACAGGAGCCAGAATGCACTGACCATCTGCAGACTCTGCTGGTTCCAGCTTTGGGTGGATGGAGAACACTGTAACAGCCCAGGTTGTCCCTGAATGGCTTCACCACTGATGGTTATGACTGGCACAAACTCTGAATAGGTTGTATCATAATTACAAATTCTACTAAACTAATTATTGTGTGATTTCTGAGCCTGATTAGATTGGGATCTAGATCACGAGTCTTCTCCAGTTAAACTCAAATTCTCAACTACCCAACCTGGCTAGGTAATTCCTTCTTTTTGGTTTCTACTGGGTTAAACCAAGTGCATTTCCTTATGGAACCAAACACCATGCCTGATTTTGCTGGGCTGTGTCCAATTGCTGTGGCTCACAGACCAGTGTAGGAATACCTGGTTTCTACCGACCCACACTGGCACTCTAAGGCTGAGCCTGGCAAAACAGACAGGAACAAACTGAGAAATTAAGGCACTTCTGTTGAAATACCACACTGAGGAAAAGAAAAGATTACAGCAGATGTAAGATGCTACTTCCCACACCAGGTTCTGAAAAAGAGGATCAGACCTTTATCCTTCTGTCTCCAGTTCTTTTTCCATGCTAAGAATTTCCCTGACAGGAGAAGAGGGGCTTTGTGTGCTCAAGATCTTACTTAACCAGCTGTTGCCAGGGTATTTGCAGGGTTCATGAACTCTCTTCCCGTACATCACTGCTCTAAGAGGAGGCTGTTTGCTTCCTGATAAAATTCTGTGGCACTTCAGAAGAAAAATCCTGTACTTTGAGGATGATGCACACTTTATAAGAAAGAAACCTTGTGCTAATATCATATTAACTTAGGAGGGACACACAGTAATTGTTGCATTGCATACAAATAATGCCACTTTCTTCATCTCAGCTAAGAAGTTAGCAGGCAGATGCAGACAGCATGTGTATCTCCCTGTAACAGCCTGCACAGCTTGGAGCTCCTCAGAGCCTCCAAGAACGCGTCAGAGGATCCCTCTCCTGTTGTGTTTGCAGCCAGCGTGCACCCCTAACAGCACACACTTGCTTTTTTTCCCCTTCAGACACATGTATTTGTTATAACACCTTGGGAAGGAAAAGGGTGCTGCCTTTGCAAAGTTAGATAACTGGCCCAGTTCTTTGCTGCCGGATTGGCTGGGAGAGGCCCTGTAAAACCACGCTGGCCAGGCGCCCAGCCCAGCCCTGCAAGGCTGCAAGCTATTTCCACAATTGGCCACTTCAGAGTGGGAGAGGGGGAGGTGAAGACAGCCGGGCAAGCTGCATCTCTGCCAGGCTGCTTCCCATTCTCCTTGTTTTTTCTCAGCCAGAGCAGTTCGGCAAACCTGCTCCGGGTGCCCCCGAGCCCATCTCGCACCGCCCAGGACAGTGGGGTGGCACCTTGGTGGCCAGGCACCTGGCCCTCCCTTAGCTCTGCTGGCACAGTCCCAGGACAGGACATGTCAAGCTGCAACAACCCTGGGGGCCCCACTGCCCTGGACTTTCCGGAAGTCCTGAAGTCCCTACTGGAGTATTCCTTGCCCTGGACCAACAAGATGACAGGTAGGATTGAGGAAATATGTACTGGGGGTTCTGTTTTGATTTCTTCATCCCCTCCTTCAGTTACAGGTGAGAAAGGGGCAGATCTTGTTTGCTGCAAGCTCTTCCAGGGTGTGTTTCCCCAAAGTGTCCAAGTCAGACAGGGAGTCCTGGCACTGTGCATGTTGTGCAGCTAGGAGGAAAACAGCAGCAATGGATTGATTATAAAATCATGCTGAGCTCCTGATCCTTTTAATCTCTGTGCTCAGCTACTTCTCTGAAACCCTCAAAGATTCATGCACAGAAAAGGCTTGGGCACAAATGTTCAAGTGACTTCCAGGATTACCACTGATTGTTGTCCTATGGTAAATAACCACTAAGTCTCCAGACATTGCCTTTTCCCAGACTCCGACTGTTCAGAGAGCCCAGCCTGCATGGGCAGGCTGACTGTGCAAACTTTGTTTAATTGTTTATCAGTGAAAAGCTGGGATAGAGAACACAGCAAATGTTGCATTTTCTTTGCAAGAGCACTTCTGTACTCCTAGGCTTTCTCATTCTCTGTGCAGCATCCTAGAAAACAAATGGAAAGGACCCAGGAGGTTATTTAGTTTGGGTTTTTGCTGTGCTGAACACTTTGCTCATGCTGCACTGATGGCTTTGCTAATGCTGGGTCTGCTCCAAGCACCCATCACAGAGCTTGAGTACTCTCTGGTTTTGGATAGGCTGCTACACAGCCTTGACAAGCTGCTTTTTGGTTGTTGTGTTTTAATGTTTGCTGCTGGGAAGTGTGTGGGAACACCTCAGTTCAACAAGCCTATGTCTGGCATGAGTGAGTTGAGCTCACAGAAACAAACATGCACAGAGCTTGTTCTTCTCTAGGAAGTTGCTACCAGGACATGCAGGCAGCTCTGCAGTGTGGAGGGGCGGCAGAACCCAGGAGCAGAAAAGCCATACACAGAGTGTGGAGAGGGACCCTGCTCTTGCTCCAGGGTCAGTGGGAGAAAAGGCTGCTCCTGTGACAGTAAAGCATTCATGTAAGGAAAGGCACCTGCCCACACCTGCTGTAATACAGTGAGCCCTATGGCACATGCACAGCTCCCTGTGGGAAAAGGAAAATAGGGCAAGGGGAACTGCCCCACCCCTAAGGGGCTCATTTTGTCACATTGCTCTGCTGCTGCCTCCTGTGAGCTCTCTCTCTTTGCTGAGACTGCCCACGAACAGGTGTGTTTACATATCATACCATATGCAGTCCCACTGTTTGTGTGGACCAGGGCACATTTTCCCAGCTGACAGTACCCAGGTAGAAAGTGGAACTGTCTGGGAGGAGGCAGCAACAGCCAAGGGCAGCTCATATGGTGCAGAGCCTTGCTGTGGCTAAGCTGAGTTTGGCTGCTTTTCTGGGATCTCTGCTCACCACAGCCAAGTGGATTCAATTAATCCAAGGGAGGGGTGCTGGCAAGACCTATCTGTTTAGAGTAGGGGGTAGAGGAGAGATCAATGATTTGAAGAGAGAATAATTTAGTCTTAACTCAATGTGACTTATTTGGCAGCCGAGAGTGCTGTTTTGTGGCAGCTTTCTTCCTCAGCTCCAGGACCACCCTGCCTTTCTGCATCACTTCCCGTAGTCCTCAGAACTGTCTTTATTATTCTGCCTTCCTCTCCAGACCAGCATTCCCATCATGGCCCTCTTCCCACAGAGCTCAGTTCTCTCCTTCTGGGCCTCCATACTTGGACAGCACTCATCTGGATTTGCTAGTTCTTAGGCCTCTCTCTGAAATTCTCTCTTCTGCTATTCAAACCTCCTGGTGGGGCTTGCTCACACCCTGTGCCCAGCAGTGAGCTGCTTATCACTTGCCTCCCTCCCTGCTGCACCCCAGAGCTGGGCTGTTCTGTAGCATCTGGCCCTGACAAGACTCCCAGCAGTAAGAGCCAAGGCCGCTGCATTCCTCTCCTCACATCTCACTATCCTCCACTCTTCCTTCTCAACTGCAGAGTGAAAGCAAATGTAAAAATCCCAGGCAGATCCCAGCTTAACCAAGAAGGCAAAGCTTGTGGTACAGTGCCTGCTTTCTGTTGGCAATTGCTTTGAGCACCTAATTCCCAGAGGCAGTGAGGAAAAGCTCTCAGGGCAGCCTCCCTCCTAGCTGGCAGGGCAGTGCTAATGCTGCAGCGGGGCGATGTGAGAAGCAACCCACAGGAATGTTCCTCAGGAACTCCCTCCCTCCTGCCTTTGGGAAGAGCAGCTAACACTGTGTAGTCTAGATCCTCTCCAAGGAAAGTCACAACTCACAGTGGTGCACAACAAAACTTTGTGCAGTGGAGCATGGGTGGAAATGTGCTGGAGGAAGAACATGGTCAATCTAAAGGGAAAAGCCCTGGAGTAAAAGCTGCTGAGTGGTTTTAATAAGCTCCCCTCATACAGACATTGCTCAGCAAAGCAGCTGCCATTGAGCCCTGCAGGGGGGATGTGTGCAGACCCTGTTCCTTGAAGGAGTGCTGTACAGTACTGAGGCACAGCATCAGCCTTGGGGGCCACCAGCACTGACAACAATGGAACAGAGTGACCATGAGAGCCACAACTGAATGGGAAGGAAGCCTGCAGCCTGCCCCACTTTGGCTGTGTCTCCTTGCCTAGGAGCTGCTCCTTTTTGACCTCACTTGGTTGTGCTCTCTATCTACCACCTATCAGTAGCTGTTTCCTAGACAAAAGCACCACTGCGGGCTTGCTGCCCCTTGCCAAGCTGTGTGTGCTGCCTCTGTCGTGTGTGGTCTGACATCTGTGTCTCATTACCCTCTGTGAAGTGGCATCTCCCTTTCACACATGTGCCTTTTCTTCCTGCCAGCTGAGCTTGGCAAGGCGGAGGGAGGCCATGGAGGGCACGTAGCAGCCCTGGAGCACACTGGGCAGCGGAGCATGACCTGCTCTGCCTGCTTCTTGCAGCTGGATTTATCAGCCTTGATAAATGATGCATTAACCTGCGCCGTTGCAGCCTATACTAACAGGGTGTCCTTTTCCAAGCTTCCCGCTGGGCAGCATGTGTGCAGGAGTTGCACCAGGCGTCCCACCCATTCCCTGTGAAGGAGGGAGCAGATTGGGCCTCCCGGCCCACGCAAGAGAAGTGGCTGCTGGGTAGGGCAGCTCCACATCTGCCCAGGTTGGCTGGAGATGTCTTCTGGTCCTCGCTGCAGTAAGACAATGGAGAAAAACACCTACACTGTGTGACTTCAAATCCATTCCTTTTCCTGGGGCATGTGGTGAAGAGTTTAGATCTGATTTTCAGAGTGGTTTTTTTTTGTTGTTGTTGTTGTTTTTTTGGGGTCTTGGTTTGTTTTGTTGGGGATTTTTTTGTTACAAAGACCGTCTGGGTTTATTAGTAAGGATCAGGTAACATCGTGCCTTGCCAGATAAATGAAATGTCTGAGGTTTGTGGCAGGGAAGCTCAACCAAGCAGACGCCCAAGTGCCTACCTGAGAGGAAGATGTCTTTTTTTCCTGCTGGCACGTATGGGAATGCCTCTGCCCTCGCGGCTGTGTGGGATGCAGACGGGCCGATCCCAGCGGAGCACACCCTTCCCTTTCCCGGCTCGCAGCACTGTATGGAAGGTCCGCTGCAGCCCCTCCTGCCCAGGGCAAGCAGCCACTGCTGGCAGGAGAAGCCTGTGCCTGCAGCATGACACTTCTGCGAATTTATTCATTTTGGGAGAGGCTCCTCAGTATCCACCTGTGCTCTCGGGAACGATCTTGGCAACATTTGCTCCCTTCGTGTGTTCAGCAGCTTAAATCCCAGCACGGCATCCTTGCTGCTAGAGCAAGGGAGCCGCTTGGGGAATCACAAGAATTTCTTGTGACCCTGACAATTTGGAAAGGCGGCCTCTCCTCCCTTCCCCCATGCCGGCACTGCAGTGGAGTCCCTCTCGCTGCCCGTGTTATGTAGGGCACGCCGCTGCGGGCATCGTGTGGGACGGAGGGAGATTAAATCCAGGCACGCGCGAAAGGTGATTTCGGGATCCGAAATGAGGATATGCAAGGGCGGGCAGGAGCGCTGGTGCCGGGACAGGGCGGAGATGGGGCTCGCAGGCGTCGCGCTGCCGGGGCGGCCCTGACGGACCCGCTCGGCCCCGGCCCCTCAGGCGGCGGCGGGAGCGCGAGAGGCGCGCGGCCTCCCCCGTGACGGTGACGCAGCGCCCGCGGGAGGGGCGGGACGGGGCGGGGCTCCGAATGCTAATGAGCTCCGTTGGGGCCCCGCCCCTGCACGTGCCCTGACGGGCGGCGGGATCGCCCTCTCCGGGGCGTGTGGGTGCCTGCGCCGGGCAGAGCGCAGCGCTGCGGGAGCCGAGCCGTGACACGCTGCTTTCAGCCCCTCGGCTCCCTGCAGCCTCCCCCGCCTGTGGACGCGTAGCTGGGAGCGGCAGTGAGGAGGGTTCCAGGCTTGCTTGACCTTAATTGCTGGGAAGTTGCCCGATGGCACGAGTAAACAGCGGATCCCCGCAGATTAGGTTCGGTGATAATCCACAGGGGTATGAGTGACTGCCTGCACATGCAGCCCTGCATGGGCTGGAGCTGCCTCTGCCACTGGTGATGTGGACAGCAGCTGTGTAAATAGCAGTGCTTATAGTCTTCGGTGCTGATGGAGCACTTTCTTTTTTTTTCTTGGCTTTTTTTTCCTTTTTTTTTTTTTCCTTCTCATCTGGCAGTATTTTTGCTTTTCTAAGTATCAGTTTCATTTCGAGGAAGGCTCAGCATTATCTGCACTGCTGTAATGCCCAGTGTACTGGTGTATAATAAAAGAAGTCCTTACACCTACGAATTTTGAGGTTCAAAATAATTTTTTGAAACAGTAGACAACATCCAGGGTAAACCACAGCATAAGCAAGGTTGGCAAGATTGTTGCCAGTGAGGATCCCACCTACCTTGCATGTCTAATATTGCACAATAGCCTTTAAATACATTTTGTGACTCTGGAGACTGTCTTTTTCTCCTTTCTGCTAAAAAAAAAAAAGAAAAATAAGTCAGCTTGTGATAAAGGTTTTAGTTATGTTGCTATGGTGCAGGATGCTGCAGCACACAGAATCTTGAATCTACAAAATAATGGGATTTCTTAAGATATTTTTGCACCCAGTCCTTTTTAAAGACATTAGTGCCAGCAGGAGCAATTTCAGTTCATGTATGGTTGCTGATAGGGATTTAGTGACTTTGTCTTGGGGCTGATTTTTGTGTTCAGAATCATGTGATGTGGCCTATGGAGATGTAAAATTCTGAAATTAATGTGATTGGGACGTAGTGCATTTTTCTAAAATTAGAAACATTTGATACTAGATTGATTACTAGATGACCCCATTCCAGCTCCTGAAGGTGTTCAGCTGGAGCCTCTGAAGCTGGCTGGAGAGTCCATTTCATCTTGATTATCCATCTCCATTCATGGTGTGACAAAGTTCAGGCTGTTCTTGTTCTTAAAATTTCTCCATGGTTTTCTTTAGTTCACCTTGTTCTGTTTCACTTCACACTCTGTGGAACTTGTTGCTCTCTGTTTATTTTGGTCTCTGATACTTTTTTGTTTGCATATTTAAGACGAAAGAATGCCTTCATTGTCAGCAGGTAGTTACTCCTGATTTACAAAAGGCTTGTCAGTAGACTTGAGACTCAACTGACTTTAGAGGGTCCTTGATTATTTTCTGTTCTTTTAACAGTGATACACTCAACATGTAAAAAATTTACTTGTTCACTTAATCCAGTGGTGCATTTTCAGCAAACTTTTTGAGAAAAGACCCTGCACTTTTGTCTGGAATGCCTATTGACAAAACCACAGTTTTCTGTCTTATTCTGTAAGGAATTCTATCAGCTAGCTGCAGTGTCTGTCCATTTGCAGTCTCTGCAAGCTACCTGTGGGTTTTCCAACTGCTGAGAATAATTTGACTCCCCAGTCCAAGCAAGCAGCTTTCTAATCCTCCTGAGCAGCAGAGGAGGGAGGGAGGTCAGCCAGTTCCAGCAGAATGCCATCCCCTGGAATGCCCTGCCATGGAGCAGGCACAGCTCACCAGCCTTGCTGGGAGTTACTGTTGTGTATGTTGCAAGGATTAAATAAATAAAAATAATGATATTTTTATAAAAACAGGGAAAGTCCTGTGGGCTAAGGGAAGGCAATTATTATTCTGGAGCAGGAGTGTAGGTCTCCTCCATTAGTAAGGAGCTGCTGCATGCACTCCAAAGGATGCCTTAATCACCAGTTGCATGCTGCTGTGGCAGGAGAAATGCCTCAGCAAACATCACAGTAATGGGCACTAGGGACAGGGAGCTCTGCAGCCTGCCTTGTTCCATCCTCACAAGTGGGACTAAAGACTTAGGGAGCAATCAGCCTATATATATATATATTTTAATATATATATAGTGCGATTTCAGTATAATTTGACCATGTTTTTTTGGTGAACAGGAAGTTTGTCAAATAAGTATTTGTTCTGTTTGTGGCTGGGCTAGCTCTTGACAGCGTGCTGGCCAAAATCTTTTGGTTGGATTTTGGTTTAGTTGGTTTTTTGGTTTTGAGGAAAAACCAGGACAGGGAATAAAGCTCTTTTCATGCTGCTGCTTTTGGTTGAAACAGAAGTATTTCCAACAGTTCAGTAACTGGAATGGTCCACTGAAGTCACTGAGCACAGACGGTGTCCTCACTGTTAACAGCAAATGTACAGCCCAGTTAATAGGTCACAGTGGCAGAATGAGGGGGCTAAATCAGACATGAGCCATCATCTGCAGAAGTACAGTCCAGATTTATCAGGGTGACCTTGAATCGCTGCAAATGGAGCCTCTTAGGATACTGCAGCTCTACTGTCAGGTAATACCTGTTTACACTATAAATATCTTAAGAGAATTAATCTTTCAGGTCTCTGTGCTGAGGTAGGCAGAAACTTCCCCCTCAAGATGCAAGAAGCTAATTAGTGTTTCATTAGATGTTGTGCACCCAAGCAGGATGTTGTGTGGCAGAAATAAAGATTAAATGAATAGAAAGAAAGCCCGTGGGAAAACATCAATGCAAAAATGATCATACAAAGGTTTTACCATGTTATGTATCATCTTTGAAACAGATGAGCTCCTAATATGTGTTAATTTCTGCTATTTTATTTCAGATACTGTTAGAAGTGAGGGAGGAGAGAGAGACAGCATAGCTAAACAAAGACAGTATGGGGGGGCCCAGTGCTCGCTGAGCTGTCAGCTTGTAGCAAAAGGACAAAAAATTTCAGATGCTTTTCTCACGTGGAGGAAGGATCTAATCTGGTGTGAGCCAGGGACAATCACAAGAGGAAACTGGAGGAACCACGGTGTTTCCAGGTTACTGCAGGACAGCTGGATGATCATGCACATCCAGAAGGCATTAAAAGATCTGACAAGAGCCACATGTGCCAGTGGTGTCGTCTTTTTAGCGTCTACGTTCTGAAAATATTTTTAAGCCATATATTCAGTCTAACAATCAGGTTGTTTTTATTTTTTTTTCTCCTGTCTTGGAGGTGTTGTATTAGCTGTTGCAAAACAGCTAATAAAAAGGCAAAAAAAAAGCACTGCTGGTTTATATTAAAACTGGCATAACTTATAATGGTATACTGTCTTCAAGAGTTAATAATTTTTTCTTTTTTTTAGTTGACATTTTGACTTGACATTTCACAAGTTTTTTATCATGCTAATTAAAAATAGTTATTTACAAATAATTCATTACTGTTGCTTGGATTTGTTCTGGTGCTCCCTTTACTAGGATATCTCCACAACATCCAGTACAAATCTGGGTTTGGTTGTGCTGGGCACTGTGAAATGTTGGGGAGTACACAATCTCTATTCACAGGTGAAATGTTGGTTCCAGTTTGGCAGGGTGTGCTCCAGTAGTAAGGGAAATCCTCCTTATATATGGAGTAGATGCTGTTTCTTTACTGGTTTCAAGTAGGAGCTGTTTAGGAACATTCTGGTTATTTACATCATTACTGTTAACCTGCATGTTTGCTTTACCCAAGGAAAAGGAAAGTTGCAGACTCCCCGTGAAAAGGAGTTTATAGCAGGAATAGGAGCTGGAAGATGGTGGTTTAGAGGGAGCACGTGAAGTGGCAAGGAGAAGGCCAAAAGCTGCAAGGTGATATTACCAAAGCTTAGGTCCAGGAGCCACTGGGCTGAATTTAATGTGTCCTTTAGGTGCTTGCTCTTGATCCCAGACTGGTGGCTGGTGAATACTTTCTCAGCTGCTTGGTTTAAAATCAGTATCTTCTTTTGTATAAAATATTCAGAATACGGTAGATAATTTACTTTGTATGGCAGCACTGTCTTTAAGCCATAAAAAGCTCTTTCAATCTCAGATCCACACCAGCTAAGGCAACAGTGGAAGGAATGCCACTTTTATCAGAATAGGTTTTATATAAATAGGCTTTTCTGATTTAGAGCCGAGTTTCACCCCCACTTCCACCCCCGATAAAGAAAAATGCTCCTTTAGTATATTGTAGCCAGTCTAGAAAACCCTAATGCCAAAGATTGGTGCATTTTGTTGGGCTAATCTCTCTTAATACTGGAGATCCAAACTGGCCCAGCATATGTCCTTGGAGTTCCTGTTCCACTGAACTGAGTATTTGTTGGCTTCCATGGTAATGCCCAGTTTGCAGGTGATTAGGGTACAACTGGTGACTGTCCCTTCCTTTTGACAGCAGTGCTGGCAGTACTAGCACTGCTTCTGGAATGCCTCCTTCACTGCTGATAGAACTGCATGGAGAACTGGATCAGAAAAATGACTTGGATTTTTAATTTTTTTTTCTGACAGCTTATTTTTATCTCTTAAATTATGTAATTATTCCATAACTTGAGTTTTCTGCTTGGATTCTGTCCCAGACAATTGTTAAGATTCAGTAGCTATGGGGAACATAGAAACAGCCATTTTTCTGTAATATGTGCACTGTAGCACAGTAAATGGAGAAAAACTCATCAGTCTCTTGTGACTTGGGGGTGTGATGTGGGAGTGTGCCTTATTAGACATCTCCCCAAAGAGTGAAAATTGTATGTAGGTACTCTGAGCTATCTATAGTGAGCAGCACTTGGAGCTAAAATGCTTTCTGTGGACATGCTGAGTCATTTCAGAGAGAAATGCTTCTAAAATGCTGAACAATAGGCATCCAAGTCTTTGGTGTCCTATGGACCTTTTGACTGATTTTCAAATGTAATCTGAAAACACATATTCCTCTCTCGTTTGTATTTAAATTATTGTTCTGCACCTTCCTTCTTTTTGCATAGAATAAGCTACTCTGCTTCCTCAGAATTTTCTTAATGGTTTCCCATGTAATCCTGCTTAGGGACACTCACTTTTGTTGTCTTCTGAGATGGGTATGTGAAAACCAGGCTGTTTTGCAGTGATGGTTAATCAGCTCTGTGCAGCACTTCATCTGCCCTTGGTAAGCTATCACAGCAAAGATGCTGCTCTGCAAGGCTGCTCAGCTGCCTGTGGCCCAGCCATCACAGGGGAGCATTCCATATGTAAATGTTGATTTTCAACATCTGGTTTTCCAGATCATGTCATGAGGCAGAACCATGAGCTTTCTGAATTTCCTTTCATGGGGATTTTGTTGGACTCTTAAACCTTGAGTCTGTCCTGTGTTTCGGCTTGTACAGTGACCTACTTGTATCTTTCAGATAAAGAGAAGGAGAAAATAAAGCTTGAAGAAGATGAGGCAGCAGCTGCCAGCACTATGGCAGTCTCAGCTTCCCTCATGCCACCCATTTGGGACAAAACTATTCCTTATGATGGCGAGTCTTTCCACCTGGAGTACATGGATCTGGATGAGTTCCTGCTGGAGAATGGAATTCCTTCCAGCCCTACTCACCTGGATTTGAACCAGAATCCACTCTTGCCCGTGGCTGAGCTGGAAGGGAAGGAATCTGCCGGTGCTTCCACTGGTTCTCCTGCTTCATCCTCTTCCACTGCAGTTTATCAGCAATCTGAAGCAGCCTCCAGCACAGGTAGATGGAATAATATGGGGTTCTGAGGGACTTCTGTTGTTCTCATATTAAAAGGTGTCTCTTTAGATCAAAGAGGAGATATGCTAACCTGTCAGTGTTTGCTGTGGCAGGTTAAACACTTAAACATGCTCAACACAGAGCCTTAGTTCATGTGTTAATTCATGAAGATGCTGCCTCTGCTTTTCTTTACCTCTTCCTGTCCTATAAAGAATGAGTGTCTATCAGTGTGCAGTCTGTTTGTCTATCAGTGGTCCATCTGCTTTGCTTTTGAAATTATAAGAGCTGAAGTAGCAACATCAAGTATTTGCTTTCTTGGTGTTGCTAATACAGTAAGAAGCTGGACAAATTGAGAAAATACTTTCTCAGGTTATTTTACAACAGATTTGATAACTTGTCACAAGTAATTTTTATTACCTTGGTCTGGCTGGGTGAACTTATGTGAACTTACTGTACCTCAAATAACAATGTTCAATAAAAAAACAATGAAGTAATCTTTTTTGTGGTAGCCTGGGAAATGTGAAAACAGACACTTGGAAAAGGTGTTTTAATGATGCAGTTTGATGTTCTGTGGTGCTTTGAAGTGGGAATGGAGGAACAGACAAACAAAACTGTGCTTAAATGGTAGTAAAAAATTTCATTTGTAGTATAGAGATCTTCTCTATTAAAGAATTCAGCTGCTCAGTTTGCCCTAGGTTTGGAGTTTAAACATGATAGCCATGACAGTACTATTTTGTGAGCAAGCTTTACAGAAAGCATTTTGCTCTGGACCTCTTTTGTGAATCTGTGGGAGAGATAACATGGTGCCCCTTCCATAAGTTACAGGGTGTGGCTTTTTTCTAGGTGGTATATGCAAAACTTATTTATTGATCACTACTGCACGTTGCAGTGACATGCAGTTTTGCAACTCATGTGTATGAAGTTTTGTAAACAATAGATTAATATGATAAAGCTCATATGAATATTACCAGTGTCAGACTTCTCTGTTGGGGCATTTATTTCTATGTGGCAAAGAAGAAGAATGCTGTTGAATTTGTAGCAAATCTTCTTTTATTTAGTCAGTTGTTTGAAAGTGTACTTGTCTGACCTTTGAAGGTCCCAGGGACTCGGGTCTTTGGGCTGGCTTGTTTCTGTGAGGATTTGTGTGGTACAAAACTCAGGCTGATAAAAGCTTCTCCCTTCTTACTGCTGCTGTAGGTGCTTTTTATGTGTGCAAAGCATGTGGTTTTTGCCAAGGAGGTATTAACTCCTGTCCTGCATCTGTCTACTCATGTCTGTTATTCTGGCATATGCTCCTGGAGTTATATTACAGACTGGACTGAACTCTTTCTCTGTACCACCAGCAGTACAGCAGCACCCACCACACCTCAGGGAAGCACCAACTAATTCTGTTAGATATTTCTCACCACAGGGCAATAAAGTTGGCTTCTTTGTGATTCCCTTCATCCTGCTGAGTATATTGTAATTTCTCCTGTTGTTGCCAGAGTCCCCACCACAAAATGAGAGAAATACACCCAGCCCCATTGATCCTGACTGCGTAGAAGTTGAGGTGAATTTTAACCCCGACCCTGCTGATTTAGTGCTGTCCAGCGTGCCTGGTGGTGAGCTCTTCAATCCTCGCAAACACAAGTTTACTGAAGAGGACCTGAAACCACAACCTATGATTAAAAAAGCCAAGAAGGTTTTTGTCCCAGATGAGCAAAAGGTAACATTTATTGCTGCAAACTCTTCTAGGCCTTAATAAAAGTTTGACTCTTCTGATTAAAAAAGCCAAGAAGGTTTTTGTCCCAGATGAGCAAAAGGTAACAGATTTATTGCTGCAAACTCTTCTAGGCCTTGATAAAAGCTTGACTCTTTGTCCAAACACTTTGACATACGGAACTAATGCAGTTTACCTACATGATTGGGCAGAAGCACTGCCAAGAATAGAATTGGCACGCCAACTGCTGTGCTTGCCCGTTTGCAGGTTTTGGTATCATGAGCTAATTACTGTCAAGGAGCAACTGACCATGCTAGACACAGAAATTAGAAGAACTATCAAGTCAAATCCTCATCACCTGCACTTTTGAAGGCCATTGTCTGTATTTGCCCAGTATTGTGTCTAATCTGGATTTAAGTAACCCAGACAAGAGAACAGGTGATTTTATGTAAAAGTTCACTCCTAAATTGAAACTAAGTAAAGGAAGCATTTCAGTTGAACAGCTTCTTAATACCCAAGTCTCTAAATCTCTGTAGTTCTAGCGATGCACTTGGTTAATCCTAAAAGAACACTTGTGTAAAGATGAAATCTTACAGTACTGCGTGGTCTCCATTTTGATGTCAGAGCCCTGCAAACCTATGGAGGAGATCCTCAATAAAGCAGTCGGTGTGGATATCATTATACAATAAAGAGGTGTCTCCAAAACACTTGTCAGTTTGGCTTTTTTTTTTTTAATACAGGATGAAAAATACTGGACAAGGCGAAAGAAGAACAACGTGGCAGCAAAGCGTTCCCGTGACGCTCGGCGATTAAAGGAGAACCAGATCACAATTCGGGCGGCCTTTCTTGAGAAAGAAAACACAGCCCTGAGGACGGAGGTGGCAGAGCTGCGCAAGGAAGTGGGACGATGCAAGAACATTGTTTCTAAATACGAGACCAGATACGGACCCTTGTAAGCACACCCTTTTCCTTGTTAGGGCTCTTTGTTTTAGCCTCTTAGACTTCTCTGCCTTCTGTAGAGACTCCCAGAAATAAAGTTTATGGAGGCTTTGCCATTTTGCATCTACACTAGAAAGAAACCAACAAAACACAAACAACCCCTGTTTCTGTTGGCACGACTCATTCAGGCCCTTTCCTGATCATTCTGTTGTCCAAAATCTTAGTGTCCATATTTAGAACCCTGTTTTCAACACTGATAGAACATTTTCTGATGTCATACAATTGAACAGATTCACCTGTCTGGAGAAATAAACATGGATCCCTCCAGACTGGAGAGAGCTTTTTGCTATCTGTTCTAACCTTCATTTTTAAGTGGAGAAAGAGCCTAGGAGACTCTCCTCTCTCTCTCTCTCTCTCTTCCTTTTTTTTTGTTTTGTTTTGTTTAATTTTCAAACTCTTGCTCTTTTTCTCCTCTCCATTCCACCTCCCCCTCCCAGTAAAAGTGTAAAACATAATTTTAGGATATAAATAGATGTTGCTGGGCAGCATCATAAAATTGTTTCCTCTCCCATTCAGAGGCACTAGAAAGTATCCATTGTGTAGAATTCTGTTCCTGTTGAAGAGCAATAGGAGAACCTTTAGGACAGGAAGACAGGAAAACATTCAATTTCTTGTAAAAACAGAAGTATTGCAAGGTTAATCTATGAATGTTATGCAGAATGGAGTCAGTGCAGTTTAGATTACAATGCTGTCTAAATGTCTTGATAGGTTCTAATCCTGGGTGACTTGCAGAAACCAAGGAGAGAGAACAGTAGTGAAGCACTCACTTTACATTTGTGGACAAAATAATTTGATGTGGGTTCTAGACTGTATTTCTACCACCACCCTTTCTTTTTTTCCTTAGAGGGTCTTCCCTCTTGAACTGCTGATAAAGCAGCATGTTGCACTTAACTGAGAAGTAAGGGAGATTTAGAAAAAGAGGTCTGGCTCATTAGGCTGAACCTTGAGTCCCAGCTGTTAAAAAATGGCCAGCACCTTATGCTTTGAAAGAAGGAGCTTTTTTCAAAGAAGTAAACAAGCCACTGTTATTTTACTGCACCTTACCTGTTGTGCAAGAGGTTGAGAAAGAGTTTTGGTCCTTTGCCTTGTGAACACACTATGGGATAAGCTACACCCACTATAAACGCCAACAGTTTACCTCACTATCTCCTGTGTAACAGTATATCTGGTCTCTCCACGCTTGCTGGTTCTATCTCCAGCATGTTTCCTGATAGAAAATTAGCACACAAGACTTACTTGGAAGTAATCCATTCTCAGCACCAAACACTGCTTCAACAATTTATGGTGTTAAAAGAAAAAATACGCTGTGTGTGATGTTGAGACCTTCTACACGACCTACAACTGCAAGAACTAGAAGCTTTACCAGAAGTGTATGTCTAGAAGTCCTCTTAACAAGAGAAGCTGTCTTAAGATAGGGGCTGTGTCAGAACTCTTAGGCTATACTTCCTGGGATAATATTTATATTGAGGAGTAAATGTGGGATGGTGATGTTGCGGGTAGTTGCAGTTCCTGTATCTGAAAATACATTAGAAAAGCATTAGGGTTTATTTTCTATGCTAAAGACTAGCTTGTCTTTTAAACATAATGTGGAAATTATGAGTTTAGAGCAATTTTGTGTTGAATTCTTAAGGAAGTGGAGAAGCAGGCTAATCCACAGCACCTAATGTATGCTTTGAACTATTCTCCCCACGCCCCACCCCCCGCTGTTGTGCTCTTAATTTGACTAGAGTGGCTCTTGATGCGGTGTTGGTCTAATTTCTTTCAAACATACTAAAAATTGTCACTCTTTCAGCAGGGGTTTTTTCTTTCACAGGGTGGTTTGTGGTGGTGATGGTGGGAAGTATGTTATAAATAAATTGTCACACTTAACACTTTGCTTTGTTTAAAGTGACTTATCTGATTCCGAGTGATGCAACTTTAAAGACTTTTAAAAACAAAGAAACTAAAAAGCACACATGAATCGCCAGTCTTCAGAGTGAGCAGTGAAATCTATGAGGTGTCCCAACACAAACAACTGATGATGACCCTGCCTGCCTCCTTGCCTGCAAGTACCCCATCTGACTACCCAGGGCTGGGCATGATGAAAAGTGCAAAGTCTCCTTAATTCTGTATATGGCTTTCTTATCTGTCTTTCTCACTGTAACTATGAACTACAATAAGCTTACCTACTGGGGTTTTGTCAAGACACTCAAAGTTCATGTCTCAAAGTCTGTTGACAGCCTGTGTGAATAGTGACTCTTCATTTTGGCACTCGAGTGGAAGAAGACAGGGAGTTTTAAATGAAAGTGTCTGTATATATAAAGAACTGCTATATTTTAAGACTCTTTTCCCTGCAGTATAATGAATTTTATTTAATACTGCGGCTCACTTCTGGTACAGTGTAGCGTATTGTGGAGTACTGTGAGTGCAGAACTAAAGACAACGGGAAGACAGCAGCCCATAATGTGAGAGACTTCAGTGCAGAAGATTACAGCAGATGTACTGAAATAATCCAGAAAGCACCACAATGTGCCATACAGAGAGTAATAAACCTCTATCAAATGACCCATGTAATAAACCACGTCGGTGGCTTTCCTGCTCCACAGCTACACTGCTGTAACCTGCCTTTTCCTTTATTTCATTTATGAGGCTACCTTTCTTTTATGGTATCTTGCTGGAAAAGGATCTGTTCTTCTGCTAACAACTTGGCAATCATGGAAAAGGTGCTATTCAGAGCTGCTGATCTCCAAATCTTTTGGCAGTCTGAAACTACCGAATGAGTATTAGCTCCAGGAAAACAATGGCTATTAGTTGCCATCTTACCATTTTCTGTCTCTTGACTGCAGGACAACTGTGGTGCTGAAGGTGAAACACCAATGATATCCCACAGTTACAATGGGCAGCTTAAGAGTGAGGACCCTTGTGCTGGTGTGGGAGGGTAGATGAGAGCTTGGATGGATTGTGGAGATGTTTATTGTGTTTAGAAGATGGAGGAAGTAGGTGGAAGTTCCGTTGTAAGAATTTCATCAGCATAACAAGAATTTGCTCTTGTATTAAGGGAGCTTGAGAGCTAAATCTATGTAGGGAGAACAAGAGTAGTTACTTTCTAGGAAAGGAGTACAGGGCCATGCTTGTAGCCAAAATGGAGCTTGTAAGACAGGAGTATGTTCATGCCTGGAGATTGATGAATAGCATACACCTCAAAAAAAATAACCTTGAAAGCTTTCTGAAGCACAAGTGCCAAAATTATGAGGCATGACTAGTTACCAGCATAGCTCAGTGCTATCATATTGAACAATTATTTTGACTTCATGTTTACCCAACAGATTCTACCCCTAAGTTCAGAGCAGAAATACAAAGAGAAAAATGTGAGAAGCAGCAGTTAATATTCTAAGCTTAATTAAAAAAAAAAAAAAACAAACCAGGATTCATAACCAGTGTTTAACAGCATAACCTTTGTACAGAGCTTATATATTTAATGTCGTTTTTGACCTGTCATTTTTAATGGATGACGTACTGAAGTCAAGAAAGTGTTTTTAATTTTTGCTGGTTACCAAAGTATACCTATGAGTGTATTATTATAATTTGGGATTATAAAGCTCTGAGATAATCTATTTTTATCAAATAGACAAATATCTTAGTTCCATGTTGCTGATATGGCAGCATATATCTCTACCTATATTGAGTGTTGCTGACTTGGACTGATATTTTCTGGTATGTACTGGTTTTTGCTTTATTTTGGTGATAAAGGCCTAAACCATGAATTAAGAAAAGCAAACCAGCAACAAAACAAACCATGACAGCATGTAAATGTAGCAACTTTTTTCATTTATAATTTCTAAATTTTCAGTTAGCCCTGGCTGTTCTTAAACGTCATGCTTCCTGTTTAAATCATAAAGCCAAAAGCTAAATAACTGGTCAAAGAGTTGCTTCATTTGGATCCTACTATGCTTAGGAATATCTTTTAAATAACTTACATATTGTGTACAGGATTTGGTTTTGCAGTATGTCATGACATTTTAACAGCAAAATATTCAGTCAGTGAGATTAGCATGTGCAATTCTATTGTTTTATCATTGTTATCTTAAAAGCTTACACAGTGGAAACTAACAGTGAATGTTCATTAGATCTTTCTTTCAGAGAAGACTGTTAGCAAACATTTGTGCTTCCCTGTAGGACAATGCAGATTTGCACAATCTGTGATTCAAGTGTCTACAGGTTGCAAAACTGGAAAATTGCACTTTAGGGTGAGTGCAGCTCAACTTTTGTAGCTGGAGAATTTGGTGGTGTTGTTATTAAGAAGCAGTATCTTTAAACATAAATGAGAAGGTAGTAACTATTTAAAGGAGTGCAGATATAGCCAGACAGAAAATACTGTGCAATGCTGAATTCCTTTCTCAGTTTTTGCAGTCTCAGGAAGTTAAATTTATTGCTCCAGAGCTTTCTGCTCCTCTTGGAATGATTTGCTATATCATTTTGTTCCTTGGACTAGGATGACAATCCTATCTGTAAGTGACAATTTGGGTATGTTTTCTTAGTGATCATAAGAATACAAATATTCTTTTAGCTCAATCTGAATATTAAAAGATGCTGAATTGACTCTGTTAGGCTTTGAAGTTCTATAGCCTTGGAACATACTCTGTGGAGGCCATAAGTTTGCCTGATGCCAGCCTAGCCCATTCCACAAAGGGACCATCTCCAAGGGGAGAGAATAAAGGGCATGTGCACCTTTCAGCATCACTGCAGGGATTGCTGGGAAAGAGCAGTTCATGACAACTGTACTTTCATTAGGAAGAAGATTGACACCACATGGCCATTTCATAGTACTAACTTTGAAAATCTATAAACTGTGGATGAAATTTGTGGACAATGAGTGTTGTTTTACTCTATAGAAGACAGCAGCTATGAATAAATAATGTGCAATTTTTAATACAGTATTGCTTTCATACATGATGATCTAATCTGCATATAGTGGGTTTGTGTCTAAAAATTCCAAGAAGCTTAAAATCTTTCACCTGTTGCCAAGATCTGTTCCTACTGAAGCTAGTAACAAAGATCTCATTAACTCCCACAGGAAAAAGTCTTTACTCTTAACGTGGTTGTTGTGAAGTTTTAGCAAGTGCTGGAGTCCTGGGTGTCTCTGCTTTACTCTGAAGCATTCTGTGCTGGGATCAGGTGGATACATCTCAGATTGCAGGTGTAGTGTTGCTGAACTGGTCCTGATAGTTTTGATATTCAGATAATCTGAACTCTTTTTTTGGCCCTTCATGGACAGAGTGAAAAGTAGTGTACTATAAACTTGTGTTGGAGAAGGAATGATTTTGGGTTCTTTGGTTTTTTGCTAAGCATCTTTTTGCAGTAACATTTTATGTCTTTTCTGACAATTCTCCATTTCCTTGCTGTGCTGTTTGAAAGCCCAAGGTATTCTAACTAGAAATCACTTTCAGCATTATCTGCAGGCCTGCTACTAATTGTACCAAATCAATTTCAAGTTGGGAGATGCAGTGGAAGCCCAGCAGCTTTGGGAATACTGTTATAAAACCACTGATGTGGAAATTTTTTTTTTTTTGGTAGATGGCAAAAATAATGGACCTGCACAGAGGAGAATATTGCTGCTTCAGTATTGTAAGCCATCTGAGCATAAAAGGACTTTGTTCCTTGTGATCAGGTGCTTTCATTTTTAGTGAGAGAGAAGGTATCTCAGGCCTTTGTAAAATCCAGACAGGCTTTTGTTCACCCTTCTAGTTTTAGCTGCTAAGCACAAGATGAGAAATGCAAATTTTTCTTAGGGCATAAATCTCATATTTTTGGCAACATACACCCAAATCCATAAAGAGCAAAATCATTTGTTAGTGCTAGTGTTGTGCCTTTGCAGCACTACAAGACTCAGACTGACTTTCTAGATGTTCACATAATTACTCTGGTCTGTATATCTGCCATTGTAACATGGTGAAGATAGATAAACTCACAGTTGAAGACTGGGAGAAGGGCAGAAAGAATAAGCTTAACTAAATATCTGTGGAGATGCTAACATAATGCTAATTGAGAAATTACAGTGATTTAACTCATCATAGTGCAAATTGACATACAGATGTAATTTGTTAGTTTGATAGTCCACTATCCCTCGCGAGTCACTTTTGGAATGCAAGCTTCTTGAAGTTCAGACACCTACAGGGAAAAAGGAATCCTTTGAGTAGATACATACATAGACAGACATAGATACTTGGCAAGGAGAGCAAAGAATGACAGAGGAAGAGGAGAGTAATGCAAGAGTCTGACCTGAGTGAAATTGCTGAAACTGACACCTCACTGTTTACAATTTTAGGCCAATTTGGATCCCCTCAGTTTAGCATCATACTGAAGATAAGTAATTGTTTAGGTCTTGGGAATCTCCTTGTCTTGGTCCTACTTCCACAGTCCAGAAAGCAGTGAAAGGAATATACAGATAGGGAGAAGAGTTACTGCAGAAAGGCATGAAAATATAGCTGTTGCTTCAACTAAGTGTGCTGTTGCGCTGGGACTTGACCTGCTAATGTGACCTGGTCAGTGCTGTCTCATGAGGAAACTACTACCTGAGGCCCCAATCTTCTAAGGCCTCAATTCTGCTGTCATTTCTGCATGGGAAGAGCCCTATATCTATAGAGAACCATGTGGACTTCACAGGATCTGTTATTGAATGTGAAGCTCTGCCCAGGCAGGCAGCTGCAGAATTGTGTCCTTAGCACACTGTCCAGTTGTAGTTATAGGGCTGTTGATACTAAGTGTAATCTGGGTGCCTGTTATATAGCCAAAACCCTTGTTACTTCATTTTCCTAACTAAGGCATGAGCAGAAGCCCTTCGCTGTACAACATCTGTAAAAAACTTTAAAATGTACTTCACATACGTCTAGTAAATTAAGGCATGTGATTTTGGTCTGTGGGTCTCAACAAACCTTGCTCGTGTCCCTGCCTGAATGTTTTCCTAGATCTGCAGCTACGTTTCAGTGAGAAGGGATGGTGGGATTTGTTTTCTTGAGGGGGCACAGTAGCACCTCTCACCTGTCACGCTGGGGTGAGCGCTCGCTGCTGGCCAGGATCAGGGATGGATGCATCCTCCGCACTATGATGTGAAGTTGTCTGAAATATGGTGATTAACATAATTATTGGAATACTGTATTTTGTATAACTTAGAACATGTAAATACACTTTTAAAACTAATCTGTTCTATGAAGTAATAAATAAGTGCTTCCATTGTAATATCTGAATATTGTTAATGCTTCATGTAGCTTGATTTGGGATTATTTCTTTCCTAGAGAACTACAGAAATCAAAACAAAGATTGATGTTGTGGAATTCTAGTCTAGTTGTGATGCTTTTTATCAACAAAAAATGTTTTAAAAATAATAATGAGCTACTTAAGCAGAGAAACTAAGATTTTGAGGGAACTGATTCTCTTCCAGTCTTTCTTTAACAGTAGTCACTGATTACATTCATAATTGTACTCTTCCCATCCTGTTAGCTGGACAGTTGATTTGTTTGTGAGTAGCATTTGGAAAGTAGCAATATTAAATTATTTTTAAACTTTAGTGACTGAGGAAAACTAAAGCTGGGGGTTTTTGTTGGGTGTGGTTTTTTTAACTATTCTCTCTTTTGGCTCAAACAGATCTGTCTCCACTTTTCAGCCAGACTGCAGCAAGTTGCAGTGCAACAGTGAGTGACTGTTACTGAAGCTCATTTGTGACCTAGATAGTCTACATCTTTGTTAGTTCCATTATGTCCATAGATTACACAGGTTTCCTGTTGTGGTGTGGAGAGAGAGAGAGAAAGTGATTAATGACTTGTGGTTTTGCTGAGTACATGTTCACTGGATGCTGCACAGCTGGACCTTTCATCAACTTTCATGACCTTTTCTATCTTGTGTTAAAAGGAAAAAAAAATAGAAAACAGTGGAGTAAGAATCATAAGTAGTCTGCTAGGAAATCTGAACGCTTGGGTTTTGAGGAGGAGGTGAGATTAATCCATCAGCCTTCACGTAAAGAGATTAGCCTGTGATGACACTTTCTCCAGCCATATGTAACTTTGTCTTTAATGCTGTACTGGAGCAGTCTCCTCTCCAGTAACAGCTGTGTCTGCAGCGTTCCATAAATGACAAAGCCACAACTTTTATAGTGGGCAGAGACAACAGCATCTCTTTTTATTTTCTTCTGTTTTCTTTCCTCCTCTCTCAGTGTCTCTAGGCTGTAAAATAGCAATGAAACAGCTAAGCAAATGTGCAAGTTATTCTGAAAACTCTGTTCTTGTTAAGCTTTTTCAGACACATACAGTTTTTAACTGAATAATTTGAGGGAACTCCTATCTGCTATATTTGGCTTGAAATTCTGTTGCCTCTTGGATAAAAGTATTTTTTTGTCTTCAGATGTGACACTGATCTGTCCCATTCACTCAGTGGGATGGATGATAAATCTGCACAGTATTTATATAAGATATAAATCTGATCTTAGTTTACTGTGTGTTAAGTTGTTTAATCTCTTGGATGTCTACTCCTTGAGGTTGTCTATATAATTCCTGTATATGTAGCTGCTTTTTGAAGCAGTCCATCAAGAGCATTTGAGATCATCCTGACTGAAAAATTCCATAGAAGTGAAAGTGATAATAAAGCTTGTAAAGCAGCTGGGTAAAACTGTATTGCCATGAATGGTTTTAATTTATATATGAATCTTCTGTCCCAAACTGCTTATTTTGTACATAAACCTAAACACTCCTGGCAGCTGATGGGTGAAAATAAAGGTGCTTAAACAGCAATCTAATGAGGAAAGGGCATTTCACTATTACAGAGTTGGTATTATTTTATATTTCCATTTATTACACTTTTTTAAATGTATAAACCACAGATTTGAATTCTCAAAGTCTTCAGCTTGGATTTTGTGAGTAGTTTAAATCCTCTCACCTCTCTGCTCGTAACTGGTTTTTAAGAAAAAGAAAAGCTTTTGTTTAAAATGTAAAATTTTGACTGTATTAAATTCTGTTAGTACCCTTCCTTTTTAAGAAATAAAATGTATATTCCACTATGCTGAGATCCAGTAATTTTGTTCTCTAGATAGCCTACTGTGTGGTGTACAGCTCCACTGCCATCATTACACCTGCAATTGCAGTGAAGTTGGTAGGCACTAAAGCAGCTGATCACCTTTTGGAAGCAGGTTCTTGCTGTGCACTTTCCATGTGTTAAGTGTGCTGGTAACAGGTATACAGTTCCCTGCTTTTCTTTTCTGGATTAACTGATTTCAAAAGCATTGCAAGGTTTTGTATTTGTCCTGCAGTGACTCTTGGTTGAACCCTCAGGTAGGGGGAAAAATCTGAGAACAAGTCAGCCACTTGGACCATGCTTTGTTACATTTGGGCTGAGAACATCCACAGAGTAATCAGAATTTTCCTTTTATTTTCATTGGAAGAAGTAAAGTTCTGAATAACTAAGTTTTTCCCATGAGGACAGCTTTCTCTCTACCTTTCTATTCTTTTTTTTTTAACTAAACCTTGGTTGGTTGGTTGGTTGATTTGTTAAGGGTCTTGGTTGGTTCGTTATTTTTTGCATTGGTGGTTGGGTTTTTTTGTTTTTCCAAAAGCTGGTAATTGAAGATCAACCTGGTAAGAAATTTGTGTCTTCTATATATTCACTGCATCTCACACATGCTTTCAAGGTAGACAAGATCACTGGTACTCCAGTATAATCTCTCTAGATAAACTGCAGCAAGGATCTTTGTTGGATCTTCACTTTTGTAAAAGGTATCTTGGATGATTAGTGATGGAGGGTGGTAGCAAGGAACAAACAAACTGTCTGTGAGTTGTTTTTCTCTGGCTGTCTTCCAGAGCCATGGCAGGATTAGTGAACCTGGCAATTTGTCTATGACAGCAGAAACCCTTCCTCTTCAGAGGGAGGGGCCTGACCTGTACTACATACCAAAGGCCAAGGACTTGACATGGCCAAGCCAAGGATTTGCCCTAGAAACTGAGCGGATGCAAGGCTGTGCTGGATGTCTCCTTCTGGTGTTACGTGGCCTTAACAGAGTGGAGGATATTTGGCATTTTTTCCCTGTTGGGATATCAGCTGGCAGCAGCACCAATGTTTGTTACACTGCCTTCTTTTCAGGGAGCTTGTATGTTCTCTTGGGTGGGTGGGGAGTGAGTTTATAAATGTACTAACTCTGCACATTATATTACTAGTTCCCTTTGGGAAATGTTGCAGCTATTAGTGATCTGAAATATGACAACTGCTTACTCAGCCTTCTTCCTGTTGTGTTTTGGGAAGATCTGCTGATCGTGGGACTTTAGATGCATTGGTACTCATTTCTGCTCCTGCTGGCTACATGAGATCCACAGATCAGAAAGGATCTGTCTCCAGTTGGGTCTGTAGCACTCCATAGCGGCAATGGAATGCTGTGGTTGAGAAATGTGCAAGAGCTCCATCTGCCAAGCACCTTGGGGCTTTTTGCTTGCTCTTGGTTGTGGTTGTTGGCTGGACGTGACCATTGAGAAAATGTGTCCCAGGCTGCTGAGGAAATGGAGAGCAGACTGACAATAAGAGAGTAAAGCCAGAAGCTGATGGTATAGCTATGACAGACATGTGCTTAAGTGGGTGGGGTGTTCCTGGGAAATAATTGCAAAAGAGTAATTATGGGACTAGCCTTCCTCCCATAAGGAAAGGAGAGGAGGTGAAAGAGGCTGGCTTATGAGGTGGAGTGGAAAGTTGCTGGCAGTATTCCAGATGTTGCAAGAGGTGAGTTCATGTACCTTATCCCTCTGTGCCTGATCACAATTTTTATGATCAAAACTGGCTCTTGTATGCTTTATTCCTGAAATATGCTTCCAGCTTGCAAGAGCAGGCTCAGCACGCACCTCACCGCCGGCTGGAGCTGGAGCAGCCAGGCTGTGAGGCCGATCGTGTGCGTGTCCCAGGGCTGAGGCGGCAGCGGGGCCCTGCCCCGGCCCTGGTGCTGCTCAGCCCGCCCGGGCTGGAGAGGGCGCGGGTGCCTCCCAGGCAGTGCTGCTTCGGCCTTCGTTGTCTCCTGGTGCATTCGTTTTGTCCTGATGATTGCTAATTTGTTCCTAAAGCCTTATAGGGTGTAAAACGGGAAATAATTTGAGGAGAAGTAATCTCATCTTCTAAGTTCGCATACTGCCTCAGTCATCGAGCCGTGGTTGCTCCGGTGTCCTGCTCCTGCAGCCAGGGATGAGCTGCGACTCCAATCTTTATCCTGAAGGAAAGTCTGGTGTCATCAAGTCCTGGGACGGCAGTGGTCCCGCAGGGCGCACCCCGCGGTGTGACACGCTCCGGGGCCGCGGGCGGGCAGCGCCGCCTCCCCTCAGGGCCCCTGCTGCGGCACCTGCCGGGCTCCGACAGCTTCCCGCAGTTCCCTGAGCTGACTCCTCGCAGCCCCCAGGGAGGTTCCCGCGTCAGGGCAGGGGTGCCCTGCGGCCCCCGCACTGAGGGGACAAGGGCAGGCACAAGTAGCAGGTCGCAAAGGCTGAGGGTCTCACCATGACAGTGCGGACTCCGTGCCGCGCTGAAACACGGGGCTGAGGCTTTGCATCCCTTTGGGCCTGCCCGAGTCAAGACCCAGGGAACGTCCCGACTGACTAAAGGCACCCTCTCCTTTCCCGCAGTCAAGGTGCGCAGAAACCTGAGGATGCGAACAGCGGCAGGAGTGGAGTGGGAGAGAGCAAAAGCGTCTCTGGTGTTCCCCAAGCACCCGCGACACGGGAAATCAGCCAAGGAGTCCCAGAAGGGCATTGCCTGCCATGGTGAGCAACACCTCAAGCTCCCCAGGTTGCCACAGCACCCCAAGCCTGAGGGAAATGCTTCCCTAGCCCTAGAGCTGGCTTTGTCCTGAGCCTGTGAGCAAGGCAAACCAGCACACCCAAAGCCTGACTAAGAGCAGCAGGAGTGACCCTGTTCTCCTCCCTGCCTCACCCCAGCCCCGTGGCTACTGTGGCCAGAGAGGTTACAGAAATGAAGGAAATTCATTTCCTAAAAACCCAGAAGGAAAAAAGGTGACCTCTTTCCTGCCTCTTTAAAGATCTGGGAGGACCCTGAAGCATGACATTAATGATATGTAACCAACCTACAGAGGATGCAATACACTGCGGTTTCGGCTCTGTACCAATCCCTCTGGGGACCAGTTTGGGGACATGATTGCAAGCTTCATTTCAGACCTGTCTATGGCTCATTCTGGGCTCCCTCCTCTTCTGCCATGCAGTGACTACCAGCCTGCTGAGTCTCTTACCAAATTAGGCTTCTTCTGCCCACCTTCCAGCCTGACAGGCTGTCATAGAAGTTTATACCATGGCTGGCCAGGAACTTCTTTCTAATTTTAATTCTAAATGTATTTATGATCCAGATGAGCTTCTAAGAGAACAAATTAGACATTTTCCCTAGCATATCTTTTTGATACATGGATGCTGTCCCCTCTCAAATTCTCCTGTTTTAGATTAAACAAGCTCCACACTCAAAATGACCACTCACAAACCCGCTCTATACCTGCTACAGGCCAGCTCCGTCTTTCCTGAGGAGGGGTGTCTAGAGAAGCACCTGCAATGCCAGGTGAAGAGGTACCTTGCACTTGCTGGTCTCCCCAGACAATTCTTTGATGGGCAAATCCTTGAACCGAGTCTTTATTCAGAGCCAAACTGGCAGCACATGGGCAGTGTCCCCCCCCGCATGCCTTCTTCCAATGCTTTGACTTGAGGGGTGTCTTGTTTACAGCATTCTGGGGCAAAACACTGCTGGTTTTGACAACTCTCCCTGTGACTGTCAGAGCCCCTTTCTTAGCTCCTCACCCACCTTGCCTCTGCCTTAGTGGTCCCTGTGCCAACAAGACTCAGTGGGAGATGGGACAATTATGCAGGCCCCTGCTCCGGACCATCTGTCTCTTGCCCTCACTCTGAGGGACAGGGTGGTGCAGGGGTGTCATGTTTCTGCAGTAGAAGGTAGGTTTTTTCCCCTTCTAGATCCCTTCTGCTCTTCTCCAAGGAATTGTGATAACCCTGTGGCTCAAGGAGGAGGGAATGACCTTTCTAAAGTTACAGAGAGAGGCTGGGGGAAAGAAAGGAACACTGCTGGTCCTGCCGACAAGCAGGGCTCTGAGAGGTGAAGGAGAGAATGTCAGGGGGCTGTTGGTGGCCAAGGAGGACTGGAAGAGGACACGTCCTCTGGGCACCACCAGCCCTGTGCTGAGGTGCTGCATGTGCCTCTGTGGCAGTCCAAAGAATTGCTCAGGACCTGTTCAGCAGAACGCAGCAGGACCAGTTGCCCCCATGGGCTGGCCATCCACACAGCCTGGCTGAGGCTGTGGGGAAAAGAGCTGGAGAAGGAGGGCAAGGGAAGGTTTAAAAATAGTTCCCCTCTCATTTTTGCAGCTGTCATTCATGGCACACAAGCCAGCCCGAGGCTCCCAGCTCCCATCCACATTAGCCCTTACATAATGGGAGACACGCGGGCATCGCTTCGGGCCGGGAACAGGCATCGGGCTGGGAACAGGCGGGGACGTGACATTTACGCTACCCTGCCAAAGCCGATGAGCAGCTCCAGGGTGTCCAGGCCCTGAAAACAGCCTGTGGGCTGGGGAAGGCAGCTCGTGTGGCTGTCAAGGGCAACCCAGCCACAGACTGGAGAGGAGGCGAGGGAGAGCGGGATGCAACCCAGGATGAAGGCTGGCCTCCGCATTGGCTGCTGGCAGAAAGCTGGTCCAGCCTGCCAAGCCACTGTGGTGCTTCTGGAGGAAACTGCTGTGGGAAGGGGTTGGTGGCTGTGGGGAGGTCTGTGGGAAACACCACAGTAGGATCTGAGAGGTGACTGTTTGCCAGAGGGGAAGATGTGGCCCCAGGCAGCAAACAAGTAAGGAGGAGTGGAGAGATGGCACAGGGAAGCAGAGAACAGGGATTGTAGAGTGGCCTTCCAGAGAGGGGTGCTGGAAAAGAAGTACAGGAAGTGTGGGAGGATAGGTCTGGAGAGAAGGAAAGGGACAGGCAATGAAGGATGGGATGGTGCTGAGGGGAGCTGGTGTGAGAAGGGGGCTGAGGGGATGGGGAGAGTTTTGAGAGGGAGGCAGGGTGGGAAGGGCAGTTCTGGAACTGTTGGGGAAATGAAGGATGATTGAAGTGCTAGAAGGAAAGGTGAAGGTCCACCAGAACCGCCTATCCTTTTCTGCCACCTCGGTGCTACAGGACAAATGTTGCAAAGGGCAAAAGAGCATACGATGTCCCCCCCGTGTCAGCCATAATGGGCTCAGGTGCTGCTCCTGCACGTTTTTTCCCTACCCCCCAAGCCTCCTCAGCTTGGGAAACTGCTAGCTCAGGGAAATTCCAGAGACAAGGGGCTGCACGTGTGGCAGCAGGTCAGGAGGACAGAGCAGGGCAGTGCTGGGGAGGCCACTGCTCTACACCTGGGAGCCTCAGCCTCCCAGTCTATCTCATTTAGAAGCGCTTCCACCCCTCCCACCTTCTGGCCAGGAACTGAGCCATATGTCTGCTCACTGTAGGATCCTCTCTTCTTTCAAAGATCATCGGCTTTCATGCTTTATATGCCAGCAGCCAGACTGCCTTGGGTAAGGCATGAGTCACTGTGGTGTGGTTATTTAAAGTGTGTCTCCTTAGCGCCAGCCACGTGCCTGTGCTGTGCAGGCTGAGCAGGAACGCACTGCTGGACCCCAGAGTTTGCACACGGAGGGCCAAAGAAAGAAAGGCTGAGACTGGGCTAGCTTCTCCCAGAGCAAAGGGAAACCTTGGCATTTCTCAGCAGCCCCCTGTCAGTGGGGAGAACAATGCGGCTTGTCCCAGTCTCAAACCACACCGGGCTATTTCCACATCCACAAACCAATCATACTTCACAGGAGGTGACGGTGTTACCTGGGGGCTCGGCAGATCTGGGGCTGGTTTGGCAGCCATGCAGTCACCCGCTGCACAGGAGGCATGACCTGCAGTCGCTAGGATGGTGCTTGAGTTCTCCTGAGGCTGCAGCAGAAGATGGAGTCCAATCCTGAAATTTCAAGCATCTAAGGACTTCTAACAACTGTGGGGGAAATGGATGCCTTAGCTAGTAAATATTTATGGCATATTCTAACTCCTCACTGCTGTTTTCCATTAGGACTGACATCCCAGAGCAGTGAGTAAGTCCTACTGTATGTCCTCCCTGGCTCGGCATCATTCAGAGGGACGCGCTGCGAGGCTGCTGGCCTGTGAATGAGTCGAGGTGTGGGGAAACTCGTTCTCCCCCTGCATCCCACTGGCACCACTGAGACCCTGGGCACACACTGTGCTTAGGCCAAGCCTTGCCATTGTGCCCCACTGAAGAGAGGTGGTAAGTAACAGTCAGCCTTGGCAGGAAGTTTGAGGAGCTGCTGCTGGCCAAACTGAGGCAAAACTGGGCATTTATAACATATGGAAAAGGAGATGTCTCTGGTGAGTGTGACGTCTGTGTTGGCAGTCAGCATGAGGAGCTGAGAGAGCAGAGCAGAGTTCTGCAGGGGCACCATGTGCAGGCCAGCTAGATGGAAGATCTCATCCGTGTTTCCTCACACAAGTGATTTTCTCTGGCCCAGAGCAGAGACTGCACCTCTAATCTCCCAGTCTGGGGCAGCAAAATCTCAGAGCTGTTGTCACTGGTTGCAGGACACTGAGATGCCAGGATGTGTCCACATCTTTCTCTTCCTTTGGACCAGGCCCCTCAGGATCAAAACAGCCCTTTCCCAAAACCTGGCTGCTTCTGCTGCCTCTTGTGCAGGCCTGGACCCACAACAGCCTTTCAGGGAGGGTCTTTTCACAGGGGTGAGATGCCTTGTTGAGCCCATGCAAGATCACTCTCTCCTGCAACATATGTCATTTAGATTCCCAGTGTCACAGAATGTATCAGGGAAGGTATTTGTGATAATTGCTCACTAGGCATTTTCAGAAGAAGCCAGGCTCATCTCTTCCAAGACAGCAACAGCGGGAGAGAAATGTGTCAGGTATGGGAGCTGTTGTCCTCTTCACACCCAGGTCCTTCCTGCTTCCCTTCTCTGGCCTGTTGGAAGGCTGCTTTGTCTCTTTGTGTTACCCTTTGCTTTCCCCTCCTTCCATCTCCTTTCCTTGGCTATACTTCCCACTAATTATATTGTTCCCCTAATCTTAAGCATACCACTCTGAACTATGAGTATTTTTGCAAGCTGAGACACCTTAGGCCTGCCTGGTATTAGGCCAGAAAAAAACTATACTTGTTGGTGGAGCTGGCACCAACCACTTGGGAGCCAGCAGTGCAAGGCTCTGACCCCATCCCCAGTCTGGATGGTGGGTAGCCTGGAGCTGCGTTCCAGCAGGATGCTACCCTGATACCTTGACAACAATGTGTCCAATTAAGCCCTGTGGTATTTTTGTAATAGCAGAGCTGTGAATTGCAGCTTCCCAGCTAAATTGCACTTGAGTAATGCTCTCATGACATGACTATCTCTGCAACATTTTAATTAGTCATTTCTGCCTTCCCTACCAAGACATGGTATTAGTACAAAATTATTGTTATTAGTACAAAATGGCTGCCGTGAGACCCACTGTCACACAGCTCTTTTCAGGATGGGGCTGTTTCAGCAGCAGTGGGTGTTTTTGGAGCCATTGGGGGAAAGAAGCATCAATATCATGGATGCAGACCCAAGAGCAGACTTTGTCACTCCTTTTCTTTGCAGCCCACTGAGGACCTGACACCCAAAGGCCAAAATGCTCCCACAGAAGTCAGCTCTGATACTGAGCGCAGCAGAGGCAGAAACAGGCCCTGGGAAAGGACAGCAAAGACAGGAGCTTGGGATGGAAAAGATTCAGATGATCCAGGTATCCTGACTCCTCAAGCATAAGCAAGCAGAGCTGGATCTATACTCCTGCTTCATGCAGACCCCTGAAAGGAGCAGTTTGTACTTGTAGGGTAACACAGCATGGTGATCATAAAAACCTGCCTCCCTTTTTGGCTCCAGCAATTAGCCCATACTCAATGTTTCCATTAGCAAGAGAACTGAATGACGGCATTAGGTTGTTTGACATAATCCTGTTTGCCTACAAAGAAGGTACAAACTCCTGCTTCTGTAAGCACAGCAGGAGTCAAACTGCATCAACAGCTTCTTTGGTCATAGCTGTAAGCCTCTTTTTAACCAGTTCTTCAACCTGCTTGGAGAAAGCTCCTCAAGCTCTTGCTGCATGTCAAGTTGGACGTTCTTCACTGTACTGTACACTTCTAGACAGTTTCTACCAGCACTCTTCAGTTCCTCTCCTCTCCTCTCCTCTCCTCTCCTCTCCTCTCCTCTCCTCTCCTCTCCTCTCCTCTCCTCTCCTCTCCCTCTTCCCATCTTTCTTCTATAGTTTTGCTTTGGGATCAGTAATTCCCAAGTGCCTCAGGCCATTTGTGGTAGACACACAGTGCAGGAATTTGGTAAGACAGAGCTTCTTGCATCAGACAATGACATTTATTCCCCTCTATCGTCATGTTGCATCAACATGAGTGACATATAAATGCCCTGTTGCCACTTTGCTTCTGATTAAACACCTTTGGGGTTTAATGAGTTTTCCTCCTGCTGTAAAACTGTGACCACAGCTATGGTCACTGCTGTAATCCCAGAATAATTTTGGACATCCTGGGAGGGGTGGCAGAGCCAAATGCAGCTGCAGTGTCCTTCAGAGATTGAAGGTTGTTTTGGAGACTTCTGCAAAGCAAGAACACACCTTGCAAAACCCATCATCCCAGCTGGTCCGCAAAGACTGGTCTTAACAAGCTGCTCCAAATGCGCTCCCCTCATCTCTAGCCACCTTCTGCAATCCTCACATCTGCCACCTGCTCCATCATTAGCTCTTGGGCTGCAGCCAAAGACTGTGGCAACACCTGAGCTACTAATTGGGCTATTGCAGCAGCGGCAGCAGAGCAGGGACGCGGCTGCCAGCCAAGCCAGCTGCT